CGTGGGGCTCACCGACATCACTACCATGAGAGTCCATGCCCGTGGCCAGCAGGAGGCCATGCTGGAAGGCGGACTTGGCCCAAGCACCCCTTAGAGACTGAAAGGGATGAAATCTCTGCAGGGCTGGGCGGGGGCTTGTGCTGCAGGCAGGGAGGGGCCTGCAATGAGAAATACCAAGATGGGCCACGTCACCAGCCCTGAGGGAGCTCAGAGGTTCAGAGGCATTGAGCACCAGCTGGAAACTGAGGCGCCTCGGGGAGAGGACAGCAAAGCAGTCACACGAGCAGGTGGTCAGCAAGGTCAGGGAAAGACCCCTGCGGCCAGCCTCGAGCCCAAGGGTCTGGGCGGACTCGGTGAGTACGCAGGGGGCCCAAGGCGGGGGGGCCGAGGTTTGCTTTGGGGGCTCCTATCTTGTTTTCTCACTGGCCTTGTGAAGAGTTCTCTGTTTCAGAAAGACCCCAGATGGGCCCGATTAGCCAGGGCCTAGGCTAGCATGGCATCCGGGTGCTGGGGACCAATGACCACCCCAGAATCATGCCGACACGTTCTCAGTCCCATCAGAGGGAACCGCACGGGATGTGACCGGGAGACCTGTCAGCACCAAGCCGGAACACGGCGGCAAGTACACAGAGAAACAGCATGCAGGGAGTGAGCGTGGAAGAGGGCGAGGGCGCCCGGGTACCAACCTGCCGCTCTCGGCCCGCTTTGCATTCTCTAACTCCTGAATCTGCCGCTCAGTCACCTGGAGCTGCTGCCTGAGCTTCTCCATTTCCAATTTACCTTCGGAACTGGCCTTCCAGAGCCCATCGAACTGCAAGAGCTTCTGCTGGGTGGCCTCCAGCTGTGCCGTGGCGTTGGCCAGCGCCTGGGGCTTGCTGACTACACATGGCCCGCAACCCCTCCAGGTGCTTTACCTTCGTCTCCGCCTCCTGCAGCTTGTTCAGGGCGTCCTCCATCTCCACTAGGTGCTGGTCCTTGGTCTGGTCGAGCTTGGCCCGCGCGGCCTCCAGGCTGTTCTTCTGCTCCTGGGCCATCCTGACCAGCCGCGACCTGAGCGTCTGCAGCTCAGAGGCGTGTGCTGCATGCTCAGCCGCCAGCTGGGCCTTCAGGTTCTCTACCTCCTGCTGGGACTCGAACTGTAGCCTCTCCATCTGCATCTTGAGCTCGGCCAGCTCGGCCGCCTCGGCGCCCACGCCCCGGCTCACGGCCGCCTTCGGCTCGCCCATGGCCTGTTGGTGCGGGGCGATGGCCGTCTCCAGTTTGGACTTCCACAGGGCGATCACGTCCGCGTTCTCCTTGTTGGCATGGTCCAGCTTGGTCCTCAGTCACTTGTTCTCCTTGGCGAGCTTCTCGGAGGCCGCCTGCAGGGCCTTCGCCTCCTGGTGGGAAAACAAAATTTCCATGAACTTAAAGCAGGAAGGAAAAGAAACAGAAAATTTTTCTTTTGCAAACTGACTGTTTGCTTTGTTAGAGTCCGAGCTCAGGACAGCCTCACCTGTCAAGGAAAACTCTGAGAGACCAAGTCCATGCAAAAGCAAGAGGTTTATTCGAGCATGCTCGGGCTCACAGCATGACCGCAAACCGTCAGTGGCTGAGAGTCCCGAGCCTCTTCAGAGGGAGCTTGTTATAGGGCAACTTCCCGCGCACAAAAGCGCGTCTCAGAAAAGCCAGCACACAAATCACACAATACATTCGAATTACCACATTAGATGCTGCACGCAGGCAGCCAATCACTTTGTAACAAGGCATTTGATGCTGCACGCAAGCAGCAAATCAGGCCTTCTCTGGCCCCATGACCTTATTTGGTGAATTCCAGGGGCAACAAGAAGAAGATGGGGGTCCTGGGTGCTACCAACTGGACGCAGCTGCAGGGCAGGATATGGGCTGGGACTTGCTTTTCTAGGGCCCAATTGTCATGGAGCTATCTTTCAGGTATTCAATTATGTAGGCTAAAAGTAACGTTCTGGCTCAAGTTCTTTTTCCAGAAAAATCAATCTGAGGACATATGTGCTTCAAACGTAAAGGAGTTGGTGCTTATAAGCATCTTTGGTTCTGTTAATTTTGAGTTAATAATATAGCAACTTCCAGTTTCTTTCCCAGACTTTATGGATTGATGGTGTCTGTACTGCATGGTGTTCCTTTATTTTCGTCTTGTCAAATATCTATGGAGAATCACTGAAGGTATTCATTTTAGGCTACATTGGCTATGAAGCTTTGCAATAAATCAATAGAGATTTTATTTGTTTTGGTTTTTTTTGCCTTTAAACCTCACCCAGTGGATCTTCTTTTTTCATGTTTTATAATTTTATTTATTGAATCACCATGAGAGCAGTTACAAAGCTTTCGGGTTTAAATCTTGGTTATAAAATGAAAGAACCGTACCTTCACCAGTGCCATTCTCCACCACCAAAAACCCCAGTATGCCCCCATCCCGCACCCTCCCCCTACCAGTGGAGAGATGATTTCCACATTACGCTCTCTCTACTTTGATTACATTCAATGTTTTGACACTTGACCCACCGTTATTATTTGGGATTTTACCCCAGCACTCAGATCTGCTGAAAGGACAACAGTAGACAATTTCTCTTCTATTACGGTTTATGAATAACATATGATGTCGCGTGGCTGTGGTAGTGGCTGCGCAATTTTGAAATTCCAAAATTTTACAATAAACCTGGAGGGATTTCTTCTCAAAACCTGCTGGGTTCAAAGATTTGTTCCTGAGTCTGTGGGATCATGGCCAGTAAGCAGGTTGATTGGGAGCCAGAAAGGCCGTTAGTGGGCGGTGACTAGGGGTCTTGCTGGGATGGGGAGGAAAGGGCTGGTCCCACCCCCGTCCCGTGAGGCCCCACATGTCTCATCACTGAGGGCCCAAACCTGACTGTCCAATGGCCTCTGGAGGATGGTGGCCACCGAGCCGCCAAGGGGGAGCAGGTGGAGGGATAGCACCCTTTCCTCCCTGGAATGGCCCAGCGACAGTAACCTACTACAAGGGTCCAGATGCATTTCTGCCAAAAGCCACTGGATTCTGAGATTTGTGTCTGAATCTCTGGGATCATAGTCATTAAGCACCTTAATCAGGAGCCAGAGAGGCCACTCATGGGCTGCGACTTGGGGTCTCATTGAGTCGGGGAGGAAAAGGCGGCTCCTCCCCCATCCCATGAGGCCCCACGTGTCTCATCACTGTGGGCCCAAACCTGACTGTCAAATGACCTCTGGCGGATGGTGGCCACTGAGCCCCCAAGGGGGAGCAGGCGGAAGGACAGCACCCTTTCCCCCCCGGGGTGGCCCGGCAACAGTAACCTATTATGTGGTCTGGACGCATTTCTGCCAAAAGTTGCTGAATTTCGAGATTTGTTTCTGAGTCTCTGAGATCATGGCCATTAAACAGCTCAATCAGAAGCCAGAGAGGCCGTTTGTGGGTGAAAACTTGGGAGTCTCCTTGGGGAGGAAAGGGCCAGCTCCACCCCCATCCCATGAGGTCCTACGTGTCTCGTCACTGTGGGCCCAAACCTGACTGTCCAGTGGCCTCTGGAGGATGGCGGCCAGCGGGCTGCCAGGGAGAACAGGCCAAGGCATGAAATCTATTCCCACCTGGGGTGGCCCAGTGCCTCTAACTTACTGCAGGCACTGGACACATCTCTGCCAAAAACCGTTGGGTTTCGAGATTTGTTTCTGAGTCTCTGGGATCATGGCCGTTGAGCAGTTCAATCAGGAACCAGAGAGGCCATGCCTCCAATTATATAGCTGAACTGGAGGTGGTTTGTGGGTGTATCTCCCACATACCTAACTTTTGCCTGTTTACTTTCTTGGTCAACTCTGCCCCAAGTTTTTGGGGCCTGGCCAAAAGCACGGCAGCAATTTGGGGGTACCTGGAATTCTGAAGGCGCCATCAGGCTGCTGATGCACTCGTCTCACATGTACAGACTGACCTGCTGGTGGCACCATACCCCCAACCCAGTGCTTCTTAGGGTTTAGTCCTGCCTCTGCACATAAAGATTGCTCCTGCCAGGGCACAGATGACTGGATGGGATTCCTGCCATTGAACCCAGATCAGCCACATGCAAGGTAAGTACCCTACTCACTGGACTATCTCTTTAGCCCAAGATAAACGCTTTTAAGAAAATGGTGTACAGACCCAGAGCAATAGTGCAGCTGGTAGGGCATTTGCTTTGGCCAATCTGGCTTCAATCCCTGACATTCCATATAGTCTGCCCAAGCACTGTCAAGAGTGATTCCTGAGTGCAGAGCCATGAATAAGCCCTAAGACATCACCAGGTGTGGCACAAACATAAAGAAACAAAAGGAAATTGGTGTATCAGAATTCCGTTGTAGAAACTGTTTGACTCATTTGACTCTATAGTTCTTCATTGCTAGCCAAAAATCTTTTATAAATAAACCTGAGAATAATCAGTTATCACTGGCATAAAAGAAATAATTTTATTAAAGTAGACATAGAACACCTGTTTGCTCAAATTTTAATACTGCTTTACATAGTTTGTGAAACAATTTCAATATTGGTTATTACAAAAAAAATTCAATTGATCCAGATCTTTCACTTGTCAGACAGTTGATAATCTCCAGAGGAAAATACATCAAAATCATACATACAATTATAGAAGTTCTTATTATACAGGTAGCCTGGATGGTACATTATTTATCACTTTTGACAGAACTAGAAAACATTCAAATAAAAAAAATACATTCAAACTGGATGATAAACTTCTGATGGTTGAGGTCCTTCATTCAATTTTTTTGTGATAAGAAAATCCACAATTAGTAATTTTGAATTTCTCATCATACATTTATCTAAAACCACAGTGAAAAATGTAAATCTTGTAAAGACAGTAAATTGGTTATTTTAGGTGTTTCACAAGTAGCTTGTTATGTCATCCATCAAGTGCTGGTGATTTCTGCACAGTGCAGAGAATGGGGTGTCCGGGCCGAAGTTGTTGTCGTAATTGTTGAGGTTGTCCCCATTCCCGTCGAGAGCCACCTCGGATATCATCTCCACTTTCATGTTGAGGTCCTGATTCTTTCTTTGGAGGTCCACAATCACGGAATTCAGGAAATCAATCTGTGTTAAAGGAGAGCATGAGACGGTGAGCCATCTGCGGGAGCCATTGGAGCCCGCCACAGAGGAGGCTGGGCCCCGGTTCCAGTCCCCGCCCCAGGGTTGGAGGCAGCCAGAGCTCCCCTTTCCCTTCCTGAGCGCAAGCTCCCGGGTGCCCCAGGGAAGACCCCAGGAGGACATGCTGGGCCCCCTCGGTTCCTCTCAGAGCAGGGAGTCAAGAGGGCCTTCCCTCTCCTACAAAAACAGACACACTTCTTTAAAATCCACGGGGGGAAAAATCCCACTTTACAAAAGCAAGCATGACACAAAAGCAAACATGGCACAAACATTCATGTTTCATTTAAAAAATGTCAGGTTTGGGTTTGAGTGATAGCACAGCGGGAAAGGTGCTTGCCTCGCACGCAGCCAACCCAGGTTTGATCCCTGGCATCCCACAGGGGCCACCGGAGAGCAGCCAGGAGTGATTCCTGAGTGCAGAGCCAGGAAGAAGCCCGTAGTATCACCAGGTGTGGCCCCCAAAGGAAGTGTAAAGAAAACCAGAAAAACAGACTGATTCTTTTTCTCCCTCGGGGCAAGTTCTGATGAGGAGTCTCTGAGAGGGCCCAGGCCCTCCCACACTGGAGCCAAGAAACGATTCCCACTTCCCTCCGAGACACGGTCCTGTTGGGAGCTACCGTTCAGGAAGAGGAAAAGGCCAGAGCAGGGATTCAAATCTAGAGGGGAAAGCCAGACACGCTTACACGTGGACACACCCGGACACACACACAGACACGCTCCCCAGTGCTTGCGTGAGCACACATACATGTTCACACATGCACACACACTCACAAGTGAGGAAGACAACAAAGCATTTGCTGCTTAGGAGGAAAGTGTTGGCGGCAGCAGGAGGCACAAGCGGAAGCGGAGGCAAAGGAGAGAGAAAACAAGGCCAGCGGGTGCTTAAAGGAGAGAGAAAACAAGGCTTGCTGGGCTCCTCATGCCGAGGACAGTGAGACACCCCGGGCAGCTCCGGGCTCACCGCCCCCTCTGGGCAGAGCTAAGTCCCAGGAGCCGCTGGGTGTCTGGGACAGAAGCTGAGATGGCCTCTCCATTCAGCACAGGAGAAATGAAGTCAAGTAGCCAAATATAAAGGAAGTTTTAGGTGGAGCAATTCTGTTTCTAGGGGTTTATCCTAGATTAATTTCAAATTTGATGAAACTACAGCAATCCATAGAATAGAATAGTAAGCAGCTATTAAGAGAGCTAAGCTCAGACCATTTCGTGTAAAATGAAAATATTTAAGTCAAAAAGAAAACATTTAGGCTTGGCTTACATATACTTATAAACATATACATATGCTTATATGGAAAAATAAAAAAATGATGAAATAACTGTTTACTTGTCTGGGGGGTACTGGAGAAGGACAGTTCAGAGTGAGATTATATAATATATATAGACTTAACACACTGGCTAATGGTTTATTTTTTTTTTTTGAGCAGAAATAATTTTATTGGGAATGTCCAAATAGCTTTTCTTCTGAAACTGTGAAACCAAGAATCTTCCCTCCAGAAATACACAGATGCATGGAATGTGCACTAAATGCCCAAGGTTTCAGAAGCAGACGCTGGAAGGACACACCTCATCCTTAAGTCCAGTATCCCAGACCAAAAGGGCGAGGATTCAGGAATGAAGTGAATTGGGTGTTTGGAGGATCCACTTGGGTTGTGAGATACATGCTGAAAGTAGACTACAGACTGAACACGGTGGTGAACTCAATTCCTCTTTTGCAAACCACAACATCCAAAAGGAGAGAGAGAACAAAGGGGAATGTCCTACCACAGAGATGGGATGGGGGGATTAGGTGAGGGGGGTTGGGGGTGGGAGGGTTACTGGGATCATTAGTGACGGAGAATGGGCACTGGTGGAGGGATGGGTACTTGATCATTGTATAACTAAAATCCAAGCACAAAAACTTGTAAGTCCACAATCGTACCTCATGGTGTTTCACTAATAAAACTTTAAAAAGAAAAAGAATGAGGTGAATCTATTTAATACTCATTGCAACGAAAACTCCTATGAGCAAACAAACAAAAAAAAAGCCCCCATTTTATTCCTAAATGCATAAACTTAAACATAAATGCATTTTATTTATTTATTTATTGCTTTTTGGGTCAGACCCGGCGATGCACAGGGATTACTCCTGGCTCTGCACTCAGGAATTACTCCTGGTGGTGCTCAGGGAACCATATGGGATGCTGGGAATCGAACTCGGGTCGGCTGTGTGCAAGGCAAAAGCCCTACCCGCTGTGCTATCACTCCAGCCCCCATAAATGCATTTTAAAGAGGAAAAGAAGATGCTGAGATACTGGTCAATATTTAATGTTCAAATAAAAAAAACAATCTGTCTGATTTGCGTTTTATTTTGCGAGGGATTGGGGGGTGGCTGTGCTCAGAGGCCCGGGGACCAAGTCTGGAGAGTCTCTGTCAAGACCAGGCCCGATGTCTCGATGCCACCCAGCCGACCTGCCAAACGGGCTCTTCCATCACCCCTTTACACCCGCTCTAACGGTGAGAAAGGACAGGCCTGAGATGAGCAACCTCTGACCCGAAACTGGATCCTCAGACACTCGGACACACTGCCTTCGCCTTCAGCCCGACGTTGACTTTCTCTGACCCTCGTCTTCACTCCGTTCTGAGACTTTCACACACCTCAGGAGGGTTCAGAAGTGGCAAAGTGTGGGTTGGCGATGGAGCCCAACATATCAGGTGCCTCCGTGTGTTTTGTATGTGTGTTGGGGGGGGGGGCGCTGGGTTCCATCCCGGCCCTACACCCCAGAGACATCAAAAGATGGTGAAGTTCGTACAAATAACCGTGCCGAGAAACAGAACTCAAGCCCTTTAGTATAAAACAGACTCAGGAGCACAAAGTCATTCTTCCGGTCAAAATTCTTACTTTGGGTGGTGAGGGCAAAGTAGATTCACAATTCAACTCTTTTAACTATGAAAAGCAAAAGTGCAGTCGAGAGATGGGCTCAAGTGGTAGACTCATGTGGGGAACGGCTCCAGTGGCCCCAGAACCCCAAAGAGTAAACTTGAACCCCATGTCGGTGGAACAGTTTCCTTCTTTCCTCTTTTTTTTTCTAGGCCTCACCAGGCTGTGCTCAAAACTTGTTCCTGACTGCACTCAGGGATCACTCCTGCAGGCCCTCAGGACCCTATGCCAGGCCAGGGATCAAAGCCCCATCAGCCTCAGGCAAGGCGAGTGCCCTACCAGCTGGTCTCCTAGTTATCGGGCCCCCATGTTTACATTGTCATCCACAGACAAACGCTTCGCGCGGGCAGGATGAACCTCTGGACCTCCAAGTCCAAGCTGCACCTGGGAGCACGCAATCAGGCAGTTACGTGTTCTGGCTTCGAGGCTGATGATGGTGATGCCAGCTGGACTCACACGGAGACACGGTGGGAGGCAACGGGGAGGGGAGGAGTTATACCATCACAAAGCAGTAATAGGACACACTGGAAAAGGTCCCTTTTCCCTCCGAAACCACTCAGGAGACAGAGAACCGCAAAGCACACGCTGACTCCGGCATGGGCCTTCGCTCACACCCAGAAGTGTCACACTGCTGAAACGAGGCCTCTGGCAGAGCTCACCACGGGCACCGCGGCTGGCCTGGGACGCGACTCCGGTTCCAGGCACAAGATGTTCTCAGACACAGCAAACACACAAGCCCACGGAATCCGGGCCTCAGGCAGCTGATTTTTCTCCTGGTGCCACGGCAGCTGCAGCGGGGACACAGACAGGAGACTTATTACCAAGAGTGATGACATTTTTGCCAAATCAGAGCCTAAACCGAGGACATGGAAAAACAGGATAAAATATCAGAGGGACTGCATTAGTTCATACTTCACCCTGAACAGAGACAAAGCTTGTTCGCTATAAAAGCCACAACTTCAGAAATACTCGTGTAGGTCATTAAGAGAAAAGAAATGAGGGCTGAGCAGTGCCTGCCCAAACAGCCCCCCACAGCCACGCACGCCCACAGTCCGAAATTGCTGCCACGGCCCCCATGGGCAAGACTCCATCTTCTTGGGATGGACCCCGTGGAGAAATTAAATGGTTGCAAACTCAGGTATACAGGATTTGTGACTGAAATCTCCAGGCTTTTTCAGAGTTGGGATGGGCTACCTCCCCCCTCCCCCATGTCCTTGTACTTCCAGAAGCCCCAGCAGCTTTTGGACATCCACACTCCAAAGCTGCCACCCAGACAAAACATCAACTCCAGTAGTACCTTCCCGACAAAAAGACTTAACTTTCTGACATCTCAAACTCTAAAACACTGATAAACCAGTAGTAGCACACCAGATTGGAGAAGGAACCAATCTCGGTTAACAAAACAAACACAGGAGGCTGAACCTATCACAACATCTTACAAGGACTCAATGTCTCCATAAGAAACAACAATTTATTGATTGGCCCGTGGTTGGAGGCCTGCCCCAAGCGCTGGGGAGAAGGCAGTTGGGAGAGAGAAGGGATCATAAGGACAGTGACAGTAAGAAACGATCACTGGGTAAGATCTGAGTGCTGAAAATCCCGTAAGGAACAGAACACGATGACCTCTCTGTGCCCGAATTGCAAACCATCACGCCCCAAAGGAGAGAGAAAGAAGAAAGGTCCCTGCCTCTAAGGCAGGGTGGAGGGGTGGCGGGAGGGAACTGGGTGGGAAACATACGCTGGTGGAGGGATAGGGGCGGGAACATGGCGTGACTGAAACCGGATCTTGAACAGCTTTGCAATGGTGCATCTCATGGTGATCCAATGAAAGGAACTTCAAGGAAATAAGTGAGGGCTGGGAGGGTCGGCCCCCTGGGGTTTGCATGGGGCGGGGGAGGCAGGTTCCACCCCGGCACCGCAGTAGTTCCCCCCATCACCGCCAGGGGTCCGTAGTGAGCGGAGCCAGGAGCAGTACCTGCGCTCCAGGTGTGCCCGGTCGGCAATACAAAGAGAGAGAGATGAGAAGAGTGGGGTGGGCAAGGGGAGAGGCGACAGAAGCCGAAGAAAAACAAAACAAGAAAACAAAACAACAAAAAAACACCAAACTGCGGGAGAAAGGAAAACAGTCTGAAAGAGCCCGAGAGAGGGGGGCGCACCCTCTGCGCCCTGGGAGACCCGGGCAGGGCTCTGCACGGAGGCGCGCCTGCACGCAGACGGGAGCAAGCCGGCCAAAGGGAAACAATGTTGCAGCGGGCCGGGCACCAGGCGGCGCTAGACACTCAGCACGCGGCCCGCCGAGCTCGCGGGCTCCCTCCGGGCTGAGCTCTGTCCCCGCGCGCGGCACAGGTCAGCCCTGCGCGTCCTCGCGCTGCCCCGCCTGCACTTGCACAAAGGGCCACGCGGAGCCCCCGCGAGGCCCCGCGAGCGGGCACCAAGAGGGACCGCTGGTTTCCCGACAAGAACCCAGAAAAATCCTTTCTGGTCTTCTCGGAGCAGGGACTGCGGGTGGGGAGCGAAGGGGGGTGGCAGGGGTGGGGAGGGCGGTGTTGCGGGGATCTGGGCTTTCTGCAATTTCTCCAGGAGGGTCCAAAGCCCCCACTCCCCACCCCGGCAGCCACTGGGTCAAAGTTCCCTCTCGCAGAGCAGTGGGGGGTGGCTCCCTCTCGGGGCGCCAAGGTTTGGAACTCGGAGCTCCACCTGGGAGCTGGAGGGTGAGGGCGAAGTGTCCTGAAATCAGGAAAAGTCGGGGCGGCCACCCCCCACCCCTCCTCGGGGCTGAAGCTGGGGGGCTCGCCCGCCCGCGCCCGCTCGCCCCAGGCACGCGGGGGTCACTCGGCCGGCCAGGGAGAGCGCGTGGGAATGAGCAGATGGAGCGGGAGCCCCCGCCCCCCACCCTCTGCCCCGAGGCGCGGGGAGGGGGGCTGCACCCCGGCCCTTAACTCGGCAGCCCCGTCGGGCTATTCTTCGGGCCCATCCCGGGGCGCTGGTTCCCAAGGAGGCCTGGACTGGCTAATGTTTTAAATGCTGAATGTCTTAGTCAAAAGTGAAGCGTCATGAATACACAAGGGCCACCCTCTCACCGCCCACTTGGGGTCCTGGCTGACACGCCCCAGATCTGCCTCCGGGCACCATCTCAGGCCATCAACAGCCTTGATCCTGAGCCGCCCAAAGGAATCTCAAAATAGATTAGCTCCCTACAGAGATGTCTCTGGACCCTAACCATTTACAATTTTAGAATTCCAGAAGGCCTCTCATGACATTCATGATAGGCAATAGAAAATAAATGATCTAGTATCTGCCTCTGGCAGGAAGGCTCGAATGGTGGTGGGGAAATTTGAAATAAGTGTGGTGAGACGGTGTAATAGTGGTGGGATTGGTGTTGAAATATTGAATGGAATCAAATAATGTGAACAACCTTTTGAAACAACAAAAACAACAACAACAAAACCCAACAAGGGCCAGAAAAATAGTATAGGTATTTGCTTTGTACCCCACTGACCTGGGTTGGATCCCCGGCACCCCACATGGTTCCCCAAGCCTTACCAGGAGTGATTCCTGAGTGTAGAGCCAGGGGTAAGTCCTGAGCACCACGGGGTGTGGTCCCCAAACTAACAACAAAAATAAAACATAACATGGAAGCAACACAGCAAAGAAATATTACCTGATTCTCCTGGGCCCTTTCATCCTCATCTGCTTGAGAATCAGAATTACCTTTCAGTTGAAAACAAAAAGAGTGAGTGTAGGTCTTTGAAAATGTGCCTTTTTGGGGCAGCAACAGTTCAGCAGGTAGGGGGTTAGATCTCTGGTCCCCTGAATGTCCCCTGAGCAGGGTGATCCCTGAGCAGAGCCAGCAGTAAATTCTGAGCACCGCAAGGTGTGACCCCAAAACCAAACTGACCCCCATCCCCAAAGTGCCTTTTCGCCTTGTTTTGGGCTCTTATTTTGGCGCCAGTGTTGCGGACCCACGGACGCCACCGCGAGCCCATGCTCCAGGCAGGTGCCCAAGTTCACCCTCCTGTGCAGCCAGCTGGGGGAGGGGCGGCGGGGCAGGGGGGCTGGTGCCCCCGGAGGTGTGGGGGAGGGCGGAGAGCAGGCACCCCTCAGCGGTAGCATTTTACCTGCCCAGCTCTGGAGCTGCCTTTTGTTCTCTTTGAGTTGAAGCTCCAAGATTTTGACCTTGAGCTCCAGCTTCACCTTGTCAGATTCCAGGGACTAAACAACTGAATGCAAGGACTTGGCAGAGGCATTTTCTCCCCTGAGCAAGGAGACCTGCAACACAGGGGTGTGGCTTAGGCCCACGTGGCCGTGGCTGTGACCCCCATGTGGGCGTGGCCTGGGCCGACATGGGAGTGGCTCAAGCCGGAGTGGGCATGGCTCAGGCCAATGTGGGCGTGGTTCAGAGAGATGGGCGTGGCTCGGCCCCCATGTAGGCGTGGCCCGGGCAGAGATGGGCGTGGCTCGGGTCCACGTGGGCGGGGCCGGGACTCGACCCCCATTTCTCAGCTTCTCCAGCTCTGCGTCCCTCTCCCTGAGCAAAGCACTGATAATACTGATGAATTTCTGTAGGGAAGCTTTCTCTTCATCGGAGTCTCTTATGAACTCGGATTCTCTAAAAGACCAAAGTGTTCAAAATGCCAGAAATCAACCCAGAGAGAGGCCAGTGCACAACTGCCCTAGAATGGACGCTCAACGGCTCCTAGGACTATTGTGGGGGGAGGGGCCCAGGCTTTTACATGTGCAAAATTTTAGTGAAATTTTACTGACTGTGAGGGAGAAAAAGTTTGCCTATGTGTACATGCCAGAACCTGCATATCACTGTGTCCATGTGAATTTAAAGAAACAAGTTAATAACTTTGGGAGATGGAAAACACAAAGAAAAAAGAAAAGAAGGACTGGTTGCACCGCCAACCCCCCAAAAGAATTCTTTTAAACAGCTAATCCCAGGTTGAAGTGCGATATCTTGAATAAATTATTACCAAGCTATGACAACAATTAAATCACACACACATGCAAAGCAATTATACGAATGTCTTGCAGAGCGGCTTTATGCTGGGAGTATCCATTGGTTCTCACTCATTTCAGCAACTTTCAGCAAGTTTGGAGAATGTGTTTTTGAAACCTTTCTGAGCCAGAACGGGGCAAAGATTGTTACGACTAATCCAACAGAGAATGATTTTCATCCAGACTCTGGAGAGGACCAAAGTGAGTTGCTCTTAAACAAAAAGGCAATTCGCAAAAGGCCAGAACAGAACGGTGAACATGGGTTTCCAGTAGAGGATGAGAGCTCGGGGCACACGTAGCATGTGGCCTCACACCCTCGGCCAGATTCTCCTCCGGGCTGGCTGGCAGAGGAGATGGAGGACCTGGCCTGGGGAGAGAGGGCGGCAAGACAGGGAAGGAGCGAAGACACAACAGATACAACCCAACGGGTGCGTATGTGGCTGTGTGTGTGTGTGTGTGTGTGTGAGCATTTACACCACAAAAGGACGTGTGTGGGGGAGCACAGGGCGGGGACGGACAGCCAGTCAAGACTGGGCAATGCCACAGTCTGGAAAGGACATGAGAGGGGACAGAAGTGTGGCTCCTGGGACGCATATTTGGAGAGAGACAGAGGTGCGTGTGAAGTGGGGGATCTCATTAAAGTCTGGGGTCCAGGACAGCTGTGGATGTTTGTGTCAGACTCGCTGGTTCAAATCAGTTCAATATTTGTTTTAAAATTTTTTAATAGTTTTAAAATTTTTTACTCCCACAAAAAAAAATAAAGTCATCATTTGTTCCTTTGATTCACTGAACTTTTTTTTCTTTGGGATGGATGTGTGTACACCTGGCCATGCTCAGGGTTTACCCTGGCTCTGGGCTCAGGGTACCACATGGGGTGCCAGGGATTGAACCCAGCTCAGCTGTGTACAAGATAGTACCAGTTCTACGACTTCCGCGGCCCCTGAAGGAGTGACTTTCCATGGATGGCTGCATAAACATTCCTGGGACATATGGGGGCAAGGGGAACAGAGGTGATGAGACAGCAGAGGGAAATGGACAAGTGGTTAAATGGGTCATTTATTTTTTAAAATTTATTTATGTATTTATTTTAACCGGGGGTCATGCCCAGCGATGCACAGGGGTTACTCCTGGCTCTGCACTCAGGAATTACTCCTGGTGTTGCTCAGGAGACCATATGGGATGCTGGGAATCGAACCCAGGTCGGCCGCGTGCAAGTCAAACACCCTACCCCGCTGTGCTACCGCTCCAGCACTAAGTTGCATGCCAAGACGAGTGTCTTAAAAAACAAAACCTAAATGGAACAAAAAACTGCTTCACCTTCTGACGGACGGTTGCCTCCTCAAGCCAGGGCACCAGTCATGATTCTGGGGGGATGTGCGCTGTGGGGAGCGCAGGGGAGGATGGGACTCTGGTGTCTGTGTGCCCCCAACTTGGGAGCTGTCTCCTGCAAATAGCACCAGGGATGAACCGACCATTTGGGACCAGCTCTGGGGGGCTGGGAGGATGAGCAGAGGGAAGGAGCTGAGACGGGCGGCAACCATGGACGTGCAACAGATCCCGACAACCGCCACTCAAGAGTACAGAGGAGGGGGTCTCCCTGCAACCAGAACTCACAGTGGGGTGGGGTGGTGGGTGCGCTGTGTCACAGGGAATTACAGCACAGTAGAATTCATGGGAAACGCATTTCCCTTCCTTGTGTCCTCCATCTTCAGCAGCCTGGCAGTGGGCTGGCCTTGGGGATACTCCTGGCTCCTTGCTGGGGGCTGGGTGGAGGGAAGGAACTCTGCCTCCTGCAAAGCCTGTGCTCCCTGCGGCCCCAGACTTCAGAGCAAAGCTCAGATATGCTTAGGCCCATCTGCCTCTTTCTTTTCTTTTGTTTTGGGGCCGCACCTGGTGATGTGAGAGGCTTAGTCCTGGCGTTGTGCTCAAGGATCACTCCTGGCTGGCGGAGGATCCACCTGGGATGCCGGGGATGGAGCCTGGGTTCGCCTCAAACAAGGCAAGTTTCCTGCCCGCTGTGCTATCCTGCAGCTCCCCTATTTGTCCTTTTCATTCTGACTTTCGTTTGCATTTCTGCAGCAAGTTCAAATTCTGGGCTTCTCTGCTCCACCTCAGTTCAAGATGTTTTCCATCCTGTGGAACTATGTCTTTTTTTCCTGGTACTCTGGTTGAAGTTTTTGTTCTCCTGAGTCGTAACAGTAAATGCAGAAAACGAATCTGTAACAAGATAGTTCTTTTTGTTTGGTGGCACATTTGGCGGTGTTCGGGGCTTACTCCTGGCTCTGTGCTCAGAGAGCACTCCTGGCGGTGCTCGGGGGACCATACGGAGTGCGGGAATCACACCTGAGTCAGACAAAAAGCAAGGCAAGAGCCTTCCCGCTGTGATATCACTCCAGCCCCATAGAGTGATGAAAGTGAAAAACAACAACAATGTTTTTACATGCAATGAATATGTAGTTTTTAATTAAAATAACACTAGCACGTTACTCATTATTTTATTTTATTTTATTTTATTTTATTTTTGGCTTTTTGGGTCACACCCGGCGAAGCTCAGGGGTTACGCCTGGCTCTGCACTTAGGAATTACTCCTGCTGGTGCATGGGGGACCATATGGGATGCTGGGGATTGAATATGCAAACGCCCTAGCCGTTGTACGTTGTAGTATCATTCCAGCCCCTAGCATGTCATTAAAAAAAAAGAAAGAAAAATTTGAGTACAGAAAAGTGGTTATTTTCTTCCCCTTCCAGATCTGGTCACTACAGAATTTTTGGTCGTCGCTTTTAGTAGGTCGTACGGTCTTCTACCTGAAGTAATAAGACTGCAGATTCTACTGCTGCCACTGGGCTCAAAAGTCTGTATTGCTAAATAATGTTTGACTTATAAATTTTTTTTGCTTCTGTTTATGGGTCCTACCTAGTTGTGCTCAGGGCTTACTCCTGCCAGTGCTTAGGGACCACATGGGACTCCGGGGATTGAGCCCAGGTCAGCCTCAGGCAAGGCTGGGCCCTCCCCGCAGTGCCATGGCTTCTGCCCCACGTTTAGACTTTTATTCCTGTCTTAGGCATCCTTTGTGCTGACTCTCCTCTCCTCTGCTCTTCCAGTACAGTTGTCCAAAGGCTTTGCTTGGCAGTGTTTTAGCGCAGGGGCTGTTTCAAGAGCAGATGAATTTGTAGATTGCAATGCCAGACATCAAACCACGTGGGGCGGTGGGCGGGGTTATCGGTACTCACACCCCCACGGTCCATGTTCCCTGACCCCAAGGTGCCGGGAACTAACTCAGGAATGTCTCGCACTTCCTCCATTGCTGCATACAAGAGGCTCTTTTCCAATAAATAAAGCCCATTTGTGTCAAACTCTTGTCCTGGGGCCCCACGGCAAAGCCAATGGGGTGAAGGGGTGAAGGTTGTTTCTGCAGCTCATGGTCTTGGGGAGGGGGTGGGGCACTTTAAAGAAGAGTGAATCTGAGGGTTAGTTTGTTCTTTTTCTTGAGGGCCACTCCAGGTGATGCACCAGGCTTCCTCCTCCTGGCTCTGCACTCAGGGGTCACTCGCCGTGATGCTTGGGGGACCATGTGGGGTGCAAGGATGGAACCCGGGTTGGCCGCATGCATGGCACACACTTTCCCCTGTACTGTACTATCGCTCCAGCCCCAAATTTGAGTATTTCTTAACTTAAAAAGAAGAAGGGAGACGGTAGCCCTGGCCTCCTAGCTTTGTGGCCTAGGTTAAAACCATCCTTAAGCAACCGAGTAGATTTCTCTGCAAGGACAGCGCAGCCAGCGTTACCATGGAAATAGGCAGCCCAGACAGCAGAAACCGATGCAGTCACATGCCTGATAGCATCCATCATATCAGCAGGCGGGGTTGGGCCGCTGCGTCCCACACGGCCCACAGTGTGACGCCTTTTTAAGCGAGTGACACCCTTCACTCGTGCACCCCGCCTGGAGAGCATTCCTACTGCTTGAGAGGGGCTGTGGCGGGGGCTGGCGCTGGGCCTGTCTGGGTCTGTGGAGCTCAGGAACGCTCCATGCTGAAAATGGGGATATTCTGCACCCCAGGAGAATTTTTTTTCCTTCGGCAAAAATAAACTGTCCTATTTGCCACTGTCTGTCCACTGGCCAGACTGCACCTGACTCAGGTGAAACGCCTGAAGGAAAGGCGGTCAGCTCACTCCCCAGCAGGTGGGTGCCAGGGTGGAGTTGGGAAAAGTACCTCCAGGAGCCTGGGCCAGAGCACAGCGGGGAGGGTGTTGGCCTTGCACACAGC